AGTGTCCAGGAAATTATCCATTTCTTCTAGATTTTCCAGTTTATTTGCGTAGAGGTGTTTATAGTATTCTCTGATGGTAGTTTGTATTTCTGTGGGGTCGGTGGTGATATCCCCTTTATCATTTTTAATTGCGTCGATTTGATTCTTCTCTCTTTTCTTCTTTATTAGTCTTGCTAGTGGTCTGTCAATTTTGTTGATCTTTTCAAAAAACCAACTCCTGGATTCATTGGCTAGCCATAAGTAGAAAGCTGAAACTGGATCCTTTCCTTACTCCTTATACGAAAATTAATTCAAGATGGATTAGAGACTTAAATGTTAGACCTAATACCATAAAAATCCTAGAGGAAAACCTAGGTAGTACCATTCAGGACATAGGCATGGGCAAAGACTTCATGTCTAATTATTGTATAATTTCTGTTAACTTCGAGGTTTCATGTTTTATATTTTAAAACATTTTACCAGTATTTTATTGAGGATTTTTGCATCGATGTTCATCAGGGATATTGGTCTAAAATTCTCTTTTTGTTGTGTCTCTGCCAGGCTTTGGTATCAGGATGATGTTGGCCTCATAAAATGAGTTAGGAGGATTCCCTCTTTTTCTATTGATTGGAATAGTTTCAGAAGGAATGGTACCAGCTCCTTGTACCTCTGGTAGAATTCAGCTGTGAATCCATCTGGTCCTGGACTTTTTTTGGTTGGGAGGCTATTAATTATTGCCTCAATTTCAGAACCTGCTATTGGTCTATTCAGGGATTCAACTTCTTCCTGGTTTAGTCTTGGAAGAGTGTAAGTGTCCAAGAAATTATCCATTTCTTCTAGATTTTCCAGTTTATTTGCGTAGAGGTGTTTATATAGTATTCTCTGGATGGTAGTTTGTATTTCTGTGGGGTCGGTGGTGATATCCCCTTTATCATTTAATTGCGCGATTTGATTCTTCTCTTTTCTTCTTTTATTAGTCTTTACAGTGGTCTGTCAATTTTGTTGATCTTTTCAAAAAACCAACTCCTGGATTCATTGGCTAGCCATAAGTAGAAAGCTGAAACTGGATCCTTTCCTTATTCCCTATACGAAAATTAATTCAAGATGGATTAGAGACTTAAATGTTAGACCTAATACCATAAAAATCCTAGAGGAAAACCTAGGTAGTACCATTCAGGACATAGGCATGGGCAAAGACTTCATGTCTAAAACACCAAAAGCAACGGCAGCAAAAGCCAAAATTGACAAATGGGATCTCATTAAACTAAAGAGCTTCTGCACAGCAAAAGAAACTACCACAGAGTGAACAGGCAACCTACAGAATGGGAGAAAATTTTTGCAATCTACTCATCTGACAAAGGCTAATATCCAGAATCCACAGCAAGAACTCTCAAACAAATTTACAAGAAAAAACAAACAACCCCATCAAAAAGTGGGCAAAGGATATGAACAGACATTTCTCAAAAGAAGACATTCATACAGCCAACAGACACATGAAAAAATGCTCATCATCACTGGCCATCAGGAGAAATGCAAATCAAAACCACAATGAGATACCATCTCACACCAGTTAGAATGGCGATCATTCAAAAGTCAGGAAACAACAGGTGCTGGAGAGGATGTGGAGAAATAGGGAACACTTTTACACTGTTGGTGGGATTGTAAACTAGTTCAACCATTATGGAAAACAGTATGCGATTCCTCAAGGATCTAGAACTAGATGTACCATATGACCCAGCCATCCCATTACTATGTATATACCCAAAGGATTATAAATTATGCTGCTATAAAGACACATGCACACGTATGTTTATTGCAGCACTATTCACAATAGCAAGACTTGAATCAACCCCAAATGTCCATCAGTACAGATTGGATTAAGAAAATGTGGCACATATACACCATGAATAGCTTATGCAGCCATAAAAAAGGATGAGTTTGTGCCTTGTAGGACGTGATGCAGCTGGAAACCATCATTCTTAGCAAACTATCACAAGAACAGAAAAACCAAACACCGCATGTTCTCACTCAGGCGGAACTGAACAATGAGATCACTTGGACTCAGGAAGGGGAACATCACACACCGGGCCTATCATGGGGAGGGGGGAAGGGGGAGGGATTGCATTGGGAGTTATACCTGATGTAAATGACAAGTTGATGGGTGCAGCACACCAACATGGCACAAGCATATATGGCAACCTGCACGTTGTGCACATGTGTACCCTACAACTTAAAGTTTAATAATAATAACAAATTAAAAATAAAATAAAATAAATAAATAAAATAAAATAAAACATTTTACCTACTAGGAATGTATACAGATACAAAATATGAGGTTTACTGTTTTATAATCAGATATGACCATGGCTCAACATCATTGATTAAAGAATACATCTTTCCATTACTGAGCAGTGCCACCTTTTCATATAATAAATTCTTTTGTGTACTTTCGCTCTATGTCTGACTTGATTTTCAATTTGCTAATGATTTTTCATGCACTAGTGTCACAGTCATCAATGTATGGTATTAACTTGCTTTTAATGGTTATCAAGTTCAAGTCTGCCTTAATAGGTTATGGCAATATGCTGGTGAACTCATATATCTGCGTGGCAAATGGTATATGTATACTGGGTCTTTGACATGAAATGGTAAATTGCACCTGTCTGGCTTCTGAAACTGGCATTGAAAAGAATGCACTAGCTGAGTCTGCAGCAGTGTATGAGTCTTACTAGGTTTGTTGAGTTTCCTGTAAAGTTCTGACTTAGGTGGTGTAGCTGAAACAATTGGTGTGGAACCAACTTGTTTAATCACCAAGCCTGTTGAGCTAATCTCTTCCTTACTTACTGGCCAGATGGGACTATTATGAGGAGTTCATGGGAATTAAAAACTCTTGTTTCAGCTACTTCCTTTAATCAAAACAGGCATCTCTTGCTGCCCCTCTGAGTTCTATCTGCTTAGTTTCACTAGCTAGAAAGGCTTTGAGCAATTTCCAAAGTTATATGTTTAGCATGAGTAAATAACACTAAGTGACTTTGAAGTGAATGAAACATCAACTAAATCAATGTTTCGTTCACTTAAAATCCATCTCTACTATGCATTTAGGTAAAGCTGATGTGACCACAGAATAATCACCGCAGTCACGCTTTCCCATTCATAAATTTATATCTACCTTGGGTTTCACCACCAGTGTCTTCCATATCATCTTTGGACCCTTTAGAGCACCATAACTCTCTCCAAAGGCAATGACTGTACTGGAGTGTCTGTGCATACTCATCCTAAGAAGTTTCACATGCTACCCTTTGGGACATTTAACCCAAATTACTGCATAGGCCTGTGGGTACCTTGCCCTTGTTACTGAGCCCTGGGTACTGAGGTTTCTGTTGCCTTCCCCTGAACTCTAGCTACCCCTTTGCAAATAGTCTCTTTATTACACAGATACACTGTGTCATCTCATTCCTGCTGTGGCCCAGTTCTTGTGGACACAGGAAATTACAAGCTTCATATACTTTAATACTGAAAAGACCATATAAAACCTATAGTCTTTGATTTCACTCTAGCTAATAAAGCATAATGTTAAAACCTGCATCCTGTAATGAGTAGTTGTCAAAAGAAGAAACACAAAATGGGAGGATAAAAGGTTTGTTAATTCTGATGTATGAAATGACAAGTCTGTACTCTTTAGAATAATTTAGAGTGAATAGAAAAGGCTGAAGCTCAAAGTGTCTGCAAGGTATTTTATGATATGCTAAGACTATAACGCCTAACTTAGGCTGGAGTGAAGCCCACGTAATGTTAATTTCTATTCATGTAGTCTCTTGACAACTTAAAACTTCTTTATTTTTACATTTCAGAAATACTAACTAGCTCTTAGTTACATTTCTTTGGAAATATAACACAGCTAATAAATAAAATTCTGATTTTAGAAATTTTGGATTTAAAGCAGTTTTAATATACTTCAGATTATTAGTTGAAATGTATAAACCCTTATATTTATATAAATAAGATACATTGCACTTATCGCGGACACATTTTTCATCTACATAGAATAACACTTATTTGAGTTTTGGTGATGAGAAAACTGAGTCTTAAGAAGAAGTCCCACCCATGTTCTCTTAAGACAATGCAAGGTGATTAAAGCCCAAAATGAAGGAGTAAAACCATCAAGAAAATGAAGAAACCTCAGTAACATTAGGAGGCTAAAAATTATAAAGGAGTTTCAGTCTGGAAATACTTAAGACTTTGAGCATCTATTAATGAAAGGTGTAAACGCTTATGAGAAATTCAGTTATGAATGTCATAAATTTCCAGAAATATTGACTTAGAAGGTACGCTTTGTATTCTGAAAGATCATTTTATGTTAAGAGAGGAAAAAAGGAAGGAAGGAAGGAAGGAAGGAAGGAAGGAAGGAAGGAAGGAAGGAAGGCAGGCAGAGGGGAGGGCAGGTGGAAGGAAGGTAAAGGGATTAGAAGGGGAGGGAGGGGGAAGGAAGGAAATAAGGAAAAAGTACTTGAGCTAGGGAGAACACTCAAAATTTCCACAACCAATAATGGAACATATTGAAGTAGAAATACAGTCAGACAAAATGTAGATGACTTCATGATGTTCAACTTGCTGGAGTTTTTAAGGGACATTTGAGGCATATACCAAAACTTAATTTTGAGTTATAGAAGACAGTCCAACAATGATACAAATTTTCTTGCTGTTCTGTCAAAAAGAATATTATGCTAAGATATTATTCTAGCCCAGGGTAGTGTTTCAATAATAATAACAGCAGAACTTGTATTTGTTTCTTTATTTATTGAGCCATAGTTGCTCTGTCACCCAGGCTAGAGTGCAATGACATGATCTCGGCTCACTGCAACCTCCTCCTCCTGGGTTCAAGTGATTCATCTGCTTCAGCCTCCCAAGTAGCTGGGGCTACAGGAAGTGCACCACCACACCCAACTAATTTTTGTGCTTTCAGTAGAGAAGGACTTCACCGGTTGCCCACACTGGTCTTGAACTCCTGGCCTCAAGTGATCCACCCACTCAACCTCCCAAAGTGCTGGGATTACAGATGTGAGCCACCACACCTCGCCAGAAGCTGAATACATTAAGAGCCTATACTGCATTATGTACCAGGCCCTGTGGTGAGTATATTACATGGGTTATGTCTCTGAACATTTAAAGAACATAATGCATTATCTCTATTCTCAGAGAAAACTGAGGCCTGAGGAGGTTAAACAACTTGCCGTGATGCCACACAACAAATACCTAAGGGAGTCGTGATTCCAATCAGTTAACATGAATCAAGAGCCCAGGCTCTTAAACATGCTCTCCTGCATTTGAAGAGAGATGGCCCTTGATGTGAAGTGACAGGTGAAGACACACACACACACACACACACACACACACACACACACAGAGGAACAATGAAATCACTAACAAATCAGGAGATTTCAATATTAGGGAAGTGGCTGTTTATTAATACGTGAAAACAAAATTATATGAAATCACCATAGTTAGTGTCCCCTTCGAATGAAGACACTGCTCATCTAAAAATAACTGCATTGGGGCCTCAGACAACATATTTTAATGAATGTGTTTATGTCTGTCATTTCCTAGAAGAGCTGAATGTCCACTCTGAATGCCACATGAGACAAATTGCAGGGAAGTTGTTCATTTTTTCCAGTGACTGGCTGGCTACAGTGCATTTTATGTGACTAATGAAGACATCTATAGTATGACAAATATCACAAGGAGAGATTTAGCAGCAAGAGGAGGCACAGCACAAGGGGCGGGGGCAGGTGGAGATGACACAGTTGGCGATAGCAAGTGGTGTGGCAGGAGACTCGGCCACAGACTGGACGCAGGCAGCAGCAGGGGCGGCAGCAGCTGGATTCACAGCAAGAGGGACGGCAGCAGCTGGAGATGCAGCAGCTGGGGCGGCAGCAGGTGGGCTGGCAGCACACAGACTGGCAGCACTGGGGCCTGCAACAGCTGGACACACAGCAGCTGGGGCGGCAGCAGCTGGAGATGCAGCAGCTGGGGCGGCAGCAGGTGGGCTGGCAGCACACAGACTGGCAGCACTGGCCTGCAGCAGCTGGACACACAGCAGCTGGGCGGCAGCAGCTGGAGATGCAGCAGCTGGGCGGAGCAGGTGGGCTGGCAGCACACAGACTGGCAGCACTGGGGCCTGCAGCAGCTGGACACACAGCAGCTGGGGCTGCAGCAGCTGAGCGATGCAGCAGCTGGGGCGGCAGCAGGTGGGACGGCAGCAGGTCTCCAGGCCACAGCTCTGCTCAGAGCAGACAGAGCCACAACAGGAGCTGACCATGGTGTCAGAGGGTGGAGGTTCTGGGTGGGTTTCTAGAAGAATGAGGTTCTCACGTTTGGAAGTATCCTCGGGCCACAGCCTCTTATATACTGCCCAGCTGTCCTGTTGTTGCCACATTTTCCTTGTTTTTGTTTACTTAATAACTAATTGATTATCAGATTACACAATAATGTTTGCCCATTTAATGGTTTAAACTTGTTTGTTAAAAACAAAATTTTCTTGTCCTGATGTAATAAGATCTATCATGTCTGCCTTATCTCATGATTCACACCTTGGTGGCATCTTCTAGACCACATTCTCTTCCTCTTCCTCCACAGAGGGCTGTTCATGTGATTCCCTGCATCTGGAATTGCATTTCTCACTCTCACTTCTGGTACCCTCTACCAAAATGGGATTTGGTCAGTCAGTCACACTTCCAGTTAGGCATTCCCTCTAGTGACCAATAGCAAGGAAAGTCCATCTGCTCAGTGTGGCATTCCTAGTCTGTGGGTCATTATTAAGCCATGAGCAAAGGGACAACGATGCCTGCGTGTGGCCTTGGTGACCTCTACACTGCTGAAATGGGTTTCCCTGGATGTTTTAAATTTTGGGTCATGTTCTATATCCTTAAATTTTTATACTTAGTGTTACTATTAGGTCACAGTTTCTTAGGTTGATACTTTGCTCTCCTATATTTTGTGTCATGTCTCTCCAGCAGATCTATTAGATTCTGGAAGACATAGTCCCATTTTTGTTCCATAACTCATTGTTTTTTTTAAATGCCTCTAACTGTCTGTTAACATAATGCAGGTGTGCGTTTTCACTTTTTAAAAAAGACATTTGAGATAATTGTAGATTTACAAACAGCTGTAACAAACAGTCTCAGGAGAGGCTGTCTGTACTTCACCCAGGCTCCTTAACACTGTGTAACATCTGTAGAATGCTTTTAGGAATCTATCTACCCCCACTACTGTGTCTTGCATGATGTGCTGAATATAGAAAGAGCTCAAGCTCAGTGAAATTAAAAACAATCAGTTATTTTTCAGATTGACATATAATATTGTATTTATCATGTACAGCATTATATTTTGAAATATGTATACATTGTGGAAGGGTTAAATCTAGCTCATAAATGCATTACCTCTCATACCTATCATTTTTTTGTGGTGAGAACACTTAATATCCAGGTGAGAACACTTAATATCCATTGTCAGAATTTTTCAAGAATACAATATGTGCAATATATCATCATTCACTGTAGTCACTATGCTACACAGCAGACCTCTTGAACTCATTCCTCCTGTCCAGCTACAATTATATGTCTTTTGACCAGTATCTCCTCAAGCCCATGACTCCCTAGCCACCCCTAGCCTCTGGTTACCTTCATTTTCTGCTCTACTTCTATGATATCAACGTTTTTGAGTGAGATCATGTGAGTGAGATCATGTGCTATCTGTCTTTCTGTGACTGGTTTACCTCACTTAGCATAATTTCCTTGAGATTTATCCATGTTGCCACAAATGACAGAACTTCCTTCTTTTTATGGCCAAATAGTACTGCACTGAGTATATACTGCATTTTCTTTATCCACTTATTTGTTGGTGGACACTTGCATTGTGTGCATAGCTTTGCAATTGTGAATAGTGCTGCAATAAATGTGGACATGCAGTTATTTCTTCAACATACTGATTTCATTTCCTTTAGATACATACTGTACCCAGAGGTGGATTGCTGGATCATATGGTAATTCCATTTTTAATTTTTTTGAGGAACCCTTATATTATTTTCCATAATGGCTGAACTAGTTTCCATTCCCACCAACAGTGTACAAGGAATTTTTTTTCACATCCTTGCCAATACTTGTTATCTTTTGTCTTTTTTATGATAGCCATTCTAACAGGAGTAAGGTGATATCTCAATGTGGTTTTGATTTGTATTTCCCTAATGATTAGTAATGTTGATTACTTTTTCACAAACCTGTTAGCCATTTGTATGTCTTCTTTTGAGAGATATCTAGTCAGGTCTTTTTCCCATTTTTAATCAGGTTTTTGTTTTCTTGTTTGTGAGCTGTTTGGGCTCCTTGTACATTTGGATTATTAATCCCTTATGAGATGTATACCTTATAAATATTTTCTCCCATTCTGTAGGTTATCTCTTAACTCTTCTTGTTGTATCATTTGTTGTGCAGAACCTTTTTAGTTTGAAGTAATCTCAGTCATCTAATTTTTCTTTCATCACCTGTGCTTTTGAGGTCATATTCAAAAAGTCATTACCAAGACCAATGTCATAAATCTTTCCCCCTATGCTTTCTTCCAAAAATTTCATAGCTTCTGATCTTACATTCAAGCCATTAACTCCTTTGAACTGATTTTTGTATACCGTAAGAAATAAGGGACTAATTTCGTTCTGCTGCACGTGGATACCCAGTTTTCCTAACACAATTTATTGAAGAAACGGTCCTTCCCCCATTCTTGGCATCTTTGTTGAAAATCAATTGACTGTAAATGAGTGACTTTATTTCTGGTCTCTCTATTCCATTCCATTTGTCTATGTGTCTGTTTTTATGTCAGAATGGTGATATTTTGGTTACTGCAGTGTTGTGGTTTCTTTTGAAGTCAGGGAATGTGATGCTTCTAGCTATGTTCTTAGTGTTCAAGATCACTTTGGTTATTTGTGGTTCTATACAAATTTTAGAACTTTTGTTTCTATTTCTGTGAATAATGTCATTAGTGTATTTATAGGGATTGCATGAGATCTGTAGATTGCTTTAAGAATATTTGGACAATATTGATTCTTTCAGTTCATAAACACAGGATATCATTCTATTTATTTGTGTTTTCGTCAATTTCTTTCATTCGTGTTTACAGTTTTCAGTGTAGATATCCTCACTCCCGTGGTTAAACTTGTTCCTGAGTATTTTATTTTATTTTATTATAACTATTGTAAATGAAATAGTTTTCTTGATTTCTTTTCAACTAGTTTGCTTTTAATGTATAGAAAACCTACTAGGTTTTGTATGTTGATTTTATACTCTGCAACCTTTCTGAATTTGTTTATTAGTTCTCACAGTTTCTCAGTGGAGTCTTTAGAGTTTTCTACCTATAAGATCATGTCATCTGCAAACAGAAACAATTTAACTTCTTCCTTTCCAATTCAGATATTTTTAAAATATTTTATTGGTGTCAATGTATAATTTTATTACATGGACATATTGCATAATGGTTGAGTCAGGACGTTTAGAGTATCCATCACTGAAATAACGTGCATCCTACCCATCAAGTAATTTCTCATCATCCAACCCCCTCCTACACCCCTGCCCCTCAGACTCTCCGTTGTCTGTCATTCCACACTCTACGTCCATGCGTATGCCTCATTTGGCCCCACTGTAACTGAGAACACGCAGTATTTTTCTTTCTGTGTCTGAGTTGTTTCACTTAAGATAATGGCCTCCAGTTCCATCCATGTTTCTGCAAGTGACATGGTTTCATTATGTTTTATGGCTGAAGAGTATTCCATTGTTTGTATATAGCACATTCTCTTTATCCAGTCATCCATTGATGGACATTTAGGTTGATTCCATACCTTTGCTGCTATAAATAGTGCTGCAATAAACATATGTGTACAGGTATACTTTTGGTATAATGATTTCTTTTCCTTCAGGTAAACACTCAGTCACGGGGTTGCTGGATCAAATGGTAGTTCCAGTTTTAGTTCTTTGAGAAATCTCCATACTGTTTTCCATAGAGGTTATACTAATTTACCTTCTCAACAACTGTTTATGGGTTCCCTTTCAGCTGCATCTTCATCAACATTTATTATTTCTGTCTTTAATAA